ACTCATTGGCTCAGGGGAGGTCAATGTGCACAGGCCGGGTGGAGGCCTGTCTGGGATCACTGCTGGGGTCAAGCCCTCAGCCTGCTCAGCCACAGAATGCCAATGAGCTAATCTGGGCGGGAAACAACCAGCTGCTGTAATGAGGTGAGCTGACCAGCTCCTCCGTGCTCGACAGTTCACGCTTGTAGCTGGAGGTCAATGACTTGGGATAACATGGACACTAACACGTGTGTGTCCCCGTTGGCCTCAGATCCCTCCTTCAGGGATCAGCAAATGGGAAGGAGAGTCTGGGGCTGTCCCACTCCCTCTCCCGGGCAGAGAGAGTGCACAGGGAGGAACTGTCCTGCCAGGTCTGGTCTCTCACACACCAGGTCCAGGTCTCCAGCTCTGCAGGCTGGGCTTCCCAGGGAGCAGGTCGAGACAGAGGGCCCTGGGACCTGTCCTGGGGTATGAACCGAGATATTAGAGTGTGGACCTCAGCTGCCCCTAGGGAGCTCTGGAACCACAGTGCTCCTGCAGATTGGTCCTGCCTTTGGGTCAAGACAGGCCAGTCATTGAATGAGGGCACCCGGGAGGCTGTGGCTCACGGCACTCTCTTCAGCTGAGGTAGGCCCTGGAAGGGTGATAGAGGGAGGCAGCCTGCTGACCACACTCCCAGCTGTGGGTCCTTTCTTCAGTTTTGTTTTATTTTTCTTTTGTAGTTTATGTATTCATTTCCTCCACAGCAGGAGAAACAGAGAGAGAGAGAGACAGCACTTCCCACAGGGTGCTGATATACAGTCCATGCCAGCCTCCACTATCCCCAGGTTCAGGCACCGTGCATGTCCAGTGCACTCAGGGAGGTCTCTGGACGGGAACCTGGATCTTCCCTGGTGAGCCGGCCTCACAGAGCATTGCTCTGCCCTGTGCCCCCAGCTGCACAGTGAGGCCTTTCTATGGAGGACCTGGGCAAGGCCTCTCCTTCTCCTTGTTCACAGCATTCATATTGACCAACACCAGACAGTGTATCTTTTTAGAAGTTTTTAAGTATTGGGGACAGCAGGTGACATGTTACTTAAAGGTGCTGGACTCCCACATGGCCGACTGTGGTTCAAGTCTTGGACTTGGCAGTTTGCCTTCTCACTCCCCCAACCCTTTTGCTCTGTCCTCTCTAGTGAAAATTAAAATAAATGGGGACCAGCAGTTAGCATAATGGCTATGTCGCTGGACTCCCATGTAGTCGACTATGGTTCGTGTCCTGGACCCGGTGGCTTAAACTCATGCCAGGCGTGTGTGCGTGCATGCCCAAGATCTCGAGAGGAGAACGAAGGAGAAGGGATTGCAGCATGGCCATCCCCCGGGGGGTGGTGGTGATTTCTCGCTTTCGGTCTCTCTGTCTCTCTCTGTCTGTCTGGCGAGCGCACACGCCCTATAGCAAAAACATCTCCAAAAGAAAGAAAAAGAAAATTAAAATAAATGCTAAATAAGTAAATAAACAAAGTTAAATAAAATATTTTTTTAAAAAATATATGTTTTAGGAGATGGCAGGTGGCATGGGAGTTAAAGGTGCTGAACTCCAACATGGTCAACTGTGGCTCAAGTCCTGTACCTGGAGACTGGCTCTCTCACTCTCGCTGTCTCTCGCTCTGTCCTTCTCTGATCAAATTTAAATAAGTAACTAAAGTTAAATAAAATAATTCTTAAAAGTATGTTTTTTAAGTCTAATTCATTTTGGTACATATATTATTTATTTATTTATTTATTTTTGGAGAAGTTTTTTGTATATGGCATGGGCACTCGCCAGAAAGACAGAGAGAGACAGAAAGTGAGAAATCACCCTCCTAGGGCACATGGCGATGCTGCAATACCTTCTCCACCATTCCCCTCTCTGGATCTTGGGCACGCATGCAAACGCACCCGGTGTGGGTTTAAACCACCAGGGTTGGGACTCGAACTGCAGTCCACCACATGGGAGTCCAGTGACATAGCCATTACACCAACTGCTGGTCCCTTGACACATACATTTTTATTTTTTCTTTTTATTTATTTATTTATTTTTGAGAGGGTTTTCTATAGGGTGTGTGTGCTCGCCAGAAAGACAGAGAGAGAGAGAAAGAGAGAGAGAGAGAGAGAAAGCGAGAAATCACTGCCAGGGCGGAAGGACATGCCACAATCCCATCTTCTCCATTCTCCTCTTGGGATTGGGCATGCAGGCACATGTGCCAAGCGTGAGTTTAAGCTGCCAGGTCCGGTACTTGAACCAGAGTCGATTACAGGGGAGTTCAATGACATAGCCATTTCACCAACAGCTGGTCCTGATACATACATTTTTTAAAATGAGCATGCCTAAAATAATTCTTAATTACATAAAACAGAACATGCAGAATTACAAAATTTACGTTATATCAGGGGACTTCAAAGGGTCAGTGGAAGAGGAATTAAAATACGAGTGCATTTTGGTGCAAAAAAATTTTGAAGTGGATCCACAGTTTTTCCCAATACACATTGCCATGAACATTCTGAAGACACGTTGTACTGATATGTAGGTTTCAAAATGTTAAACCACAGTTGCTGTTGTCGTACATGTGCTGCTTTATTGAACCATTAGGTAGGAATATCTAGCCATAGGCTCAATGACGGCCATGATTTGGAAATAATGATGAGTCTGAACAATATTTATGGAGATTCCCACTTGCTGTAGTGAGATAGGAGGTGACCTGTCATTTTCACCTGTGACAGAGCCACTGGCCTGGTGGTTCCCTGCCAGTCTCGTACCTGAAGGAGAGTCCGAATTCACTTCAGTTAGAGATTAGAGAAAGACGTGATCTTTTCCCTTTCAAGCTCCAGCTCAGGGAAGTGTGGGTGGCTAGGTGTTGGGGGTGGGAAAGTTTTCAGATTTATGCTCCCCCGTTCCCTTCCTAAAAAGGGGGTCAGGCAGATGTGAGTGGCAGGCCAAGAGGGTGGACAGAGAGGCCAGGCTGACCCTATTCCTGCCTGGAGGGGCCCTAGTGTCCACCCCCGCCCCCAGATGTACTGAGAGTCCAGAGAAATCGTTCTAGGGTTGGGTGGTTCCTGCTCCCACATCTCCCTGTCCCACCCTGGTGACCCAGGGAATCCCAGCCTGCCCCTTTCCCCACAGCACCCTGTCTGGGCCCAGTCCATTAGCCGAGGCTGTAATCTTTTTTATTGTTTTAAGAATTGTTTATTGCCCCACCCCACCCCCTCTCTTTGCACTGGCTGCAACTCTACTGCCACAGCCTCTCACCCCTGAAAATGTATACCTGCTCCAGGCCTGTTTCCACTCCTCCTTGGTCAGGAGCACCTCTCAGCTGCTGAGCCGACCACTGTCGGAGGTGTTGCTGAAACAACCGGAAACACCGACATACAACAGCCTCAGCTGCTTGGCAGCCTCGCATCCCCAGACCTTGCCTGTCCCTTGCCGCAGCTTCCAAACAGCACAGTTTCAAGGGACATCAACACAGCCGCCAAGTTCATTGGGGCAGGGGCTGCCAGGGTTGGGGTGGTTGGCTCTGGGGCCGGGAGTGGGACAGTGTTTGGAAGCCTGACCATTGGTTATGCCAGGAACCCTTCTCTAAAGCAACAGCTCCTCGCCAGCGCCATTCTGGGCTTTGCCCTCTCGGAGACCATGTGGCTTTTTTGCCTGAAGGTGCCTTTCTCATCTTCTTGGGGAGGAGTCGTCTCCACCTCCCATAGTTTTGTTCCCCATGTCTCGTCTGTCCTGTACATCCCTTTTCCTGTACCTCCCTAGGCGGCAAGGGAAAAGTGGTTGGCTCAGGCTTTGACAGAGAAAAGACAAATAAATACTGTATTAATAAGAAAAAGAAATTGTTTATTGCAGTCTCCGCCGCTGCCGTGGTGCCCGTGATCTGGGAGTTCCCATAACATCAGCTACCCCAGAGGCTGAGGCAGGAGGACTGTGAGATCCAGGGCAGCCTGGAAAAAGCTTGTGGCGAAGGGGGACAAAAATAATGAAGCAGGATCTGAAGTTTACCCTTGACCACATCCACCCTCTAGAAGATGGAATCCCGGATACTGCCAACTTTGAGCAGTTTCTCCAGAGAGAATCTAAGTGAGTGGGAAAGCTGGGAATCTAGGGAAGGAGTTGTAACCGCTGGAAGGAGCAAGAGCGGGATCTCCGTAACTTCTGAGGGGCCTTTTCCAGAAGAGAAAAGTGGCTAGGGTTGACCTGAGAGCTTCACACGTTTGTGAATGTCGCTCTGTTGGCGTATTCACAATCTCTCTCCAAAAACTATTTGAAGAATAATAATCTACATGATTGGTTGCGCATAGCTGTTAACAGCAAAGAGAGCTATGAATTACATTAATTCCAGATTAAACACAATGAAGAAGAGGAGGAAGATGAGAATTAAAACTCACTTATTGAGACCAGCAGTTGGCGTAATGGCTATGTTGCTGGACTCCCATGTAGTCGACTGCGGTTGGTGTCCCGGACCCGGTGGCTTGAACTCACACCGGGCATGTGTGCATGCGTGCCCAAGATCCCGAGAGGAGAATGGAGGAGAAGGGATTGCGGCGTGGGCCATCCCCCCTGGGGGTGATTTCTCGCTTTCTGTCTCTTTGTCTCTCTGTCTTTCTGGAGAGCACACGTGCCCTATAGCACCTCTCCTCCCCCCCCAAAAAAAAAAAACTGGGAATATTTTGTACAAGATCTTGAATAAAACTTGGGAAATAAAAAAAAGGAAAAAATTGTTTATTAAATTTTATTTGTATTATTTTTAAAATTGCTATGGGGCTCATCGTTCACCAGAGAGAGACATGGGTGGGATGGCCGGGTGAGAACGCAAGCCACAAGGTCTAGGACTCAAACTGCAGTCAGCCATGTGAGAGTCTAGTAACTTAACCAGCATGCCACCTCCTGGCCCTGAGGCTGTAATCTTGACCTTGGTCCAGGCTATGTAAACAATGGGAGCAAAGTGCTGGCAAACCTGACCTAGAGGACCTGCGGTCATCGGTTTTGGAACCACTCTTTGGGCCTCAGCCTAGGCTGTGCCCAGACGTGAAAAGTCTGCCCAGGGAGACTCCCCAGTCGCCATCCCTGCTCCCAGTGCTCAGCGCCATGCCCATCTCCAGCCTCACCTGCTGTCTGCTCGCTCTCCTGCTGCTCACCTCTGCCTGCTACAGTCAGAACAAACAGCCAGTTGGCAAGAGAGGCCTGAAACCCTGGAAAATGGGCCACGTGAGTACACAAGCCCCCTTCCTGCTGCACTATGGAGGCCAGCAGGGATCTGGGCGAAACCCCAGACTTCCAGACACACCTGAGAGGCCCAAGGTGTCAGGAGATCTGGGGCTTCTTGCCCTTGACTGCTGTCCAGGTGTAGATGGTGCCCCAGGTCCTGCAGTCTTCCGGGTTCCAGCCTCAAGGCCCCTCGGCCCCCATCTGAGTCTGCTCACTCCACCCATCAGGTCGTGCAGTGCTTCCAGTGCGGAACCCTGAGCTTTGTGCGCTACATGAAGGTCGATATCTGTTGTGTTCAGGGGATCTGCAAATTCTGCCAGGAGAATTTAAAGGACTGCAAAAGGAGGATTCACTGTCAACTCCTGATCTCAGCCCTGCGAGAACCAAGACTTCTGCACATCCCTGGGCTTCTGCCCAAGCTGCTTGCCTGGTGAGCCAGGAAAGTCCTGTGCCGGGGTGAGAGTGGGGACGGGGTGGGGAGCTGAGGCTGGGGCGGCCCTCTGATTTGTCCCTCTCTTCATAGAAGGCTGCCACATTGACCCCACCTGCAACAAGGCCTGCTCCACACAGTGCTGAGCCTGCAGGGCTATGGATGCTCTAGGAGCGAATCCCTCGCTTCCCCTTAGCCAACCCAGAAAGAATGAAAATGCAATAAAGCTCATTTCCCCCTCAACTCGACTTATGTCTGCATGTCAGAAGATGGAGGGAAGGTTCCGGGAATGGTGGATGGCACCCGATTAGTGCTGGTTCTGGTGTCCAGCACAGAAACACAGACTCAGTCTAGGGAAGAAGTGTCTGTCCCCGGAGGGTGTGCTGGGGCTGAGAGGGTGCTGTTCTCTCTTCTGCTGTCCTGTAGGGGGTGGGGAAGGTTGGGGACACCAGGATGAACTCCAGGGCAATTCAAACACCCTCAGCTCCCTCTCCAACAGGAGCTGGAGCAGTCTGAGCTTACGAGAAACTTGTCCAAGTGTAAAACTGAACAGTGATAAAATTGGGGCTCTGCCAGGCGGGCCTGTGTGGAGACCTCACTGCGTGTGTGTCAGATGTACACGCCCGGATGGGGCTGGCTGGCGATCGGGGTGGATTTTGTTGTCAAGATCCTGTGTAGTTCATCTCTGAGAAGAAAGAAAGAAAGAATCTATACAAATAAAAGAAGAAAGGGGCCGACAGGTGGTGCAGTGATTAAGGTGCTGAATTCCAAAGGCCAACCTCAGTCCGAGCCCGAGACCAGGTGGCTGGAACATCATGACAGAGTCACGTGCATGCATGCCCAAAATCCTGAGAAGAGAGGAGCTTGTGGCATGGCCATACCCCCCAGAGAATGATCTCTCACTTCTCCTCTGTTTGTATCTCTCTGTCTCTCTCCTCTCTGGCAAGCCCACACACCCTACGACAAAAACCTAGAGATAAAAAGAATAAGACAATAAATGAAGTAACCTTAATATCCTATGAAAGTGAAGAAAATACCCGCCAGTATGTGCATTTCCCACTGTCTACAGAACTGCTCACAGACGCCCAGTAACAGACATGGGGAGCCCACAAGGAACCTGGGGGCCTGAAGGGCAGGACTGCAAGAGGCAAGCAGTGGCCTCTCACTTTACACCGAGCAGCTGCAACGTCCTGGCTGCCGCCCTCCAGGGCCAGACCCTGAGAGGCACGTGTGGGTGCACGGGCAAGGGGGCTTCTTCAGGGAGCTGGGGCCTGGGGAGACAGGGAACTGATGCTCCACGACCATCTCCAAAGTCACAGACCAGGATGGGATTTCACACAGAGGGAAGATAAGGAAGGTGGGAAAGCCGGGGCTCCCTCCAGGAGGGTCACAGCCACATGGACTTGTCGGCCCCAGAGCTGCTGTGCACACGGTCACTTTGCCCTCAAGGGCAGCATCACTGGAAAGTCTTTTCTTCCTTTCTTTCTTTTCTTAAAACAGTTGGTTCGTTTAACTTTATGTTCATATGTATTTATTTTAATTTGACCAGGGAAGGGGAGAAAGAGAGAGAGAGAGACAGCAAGCCACCAGGTCTAGGACTTAAACCACAGTTGACCATGTGGGAGTCCAATATCCTTAACCACCTCACCACCTTCTGTCCCCAAAAACTCATTATTTTCTTAGATTGTCTGCCCTCTGGGTGAGCTCGCAAGCCCAGCTCCTGTGAAACTCAGCAAAGCTGTGATTCAGCTATGTCTGCAAGTTAAACAGGAAAGCTAAGTTAGTTAGCTTTAGCTAGTCCATTGTGCCTTTTTAAAATTTTCTTTTTAATTTTTAATTTTTTCTTTTTGGGAGATGTTTTTGCTATAAGGTGCGTGCAATCACCAGAAATACAGAGACAGAGAGACAAAAAGCAAGAAATCACCCCCCCCCCCAGGAGGATGTCCTGGCTGCAATCCCTTCTCCATTCTCCTCTCGGGATCTTGGGCACACACACACACACGCACACGCACCAGGCGTTTGTTTAAGCTACTGGGTCCAGGACTCGAACCACAGTAGACTACGTGGGAGTCCAGAGACACAGCCATTATGCCAACTGCTAAACCAAAAAAAAAAAATTTTTAAGGTTTTCTTGTTGTACAATGTGTCTGCTCTCCAGAGAGAAACAGACAGAGCGAAAGTGAGAAATCACCCCTAGGTGGTATATCCACCCTGCAATCTCTCTTTTTCTTTTTTTTTTTACATTCATTCATTATACATCATTACAGCAAATAAAATGAGATTTCCCATCCAGAATACACTGTAAATTGGCTCAGTCAAGCACAACAACATACGTGTTATCATCAACAAATAATTTTCCATTTATTTCCTGTATATTTTGTTATTTTTGCCATCCTTGATTCCCTATCTCTCACCCTCTGCCGTGTCTCACCCTCCTTCCACACTGTCTCTGGTATCCATGGTTACTTTCTATGCCTTTTCCTCCCATTTTATTTATTCACTAATGAACTTAATTAATCTAAATACTTCTAATAGCAAGCACAGCTGATATATACATATCTATGAACACAAGTCTGACTTTAGGCATACACCTCAGTGAGTAGAATGAGCACACTATAAAACAGCACCTAGCTAGGGCTATATAGCTTACTGCAGTCATCAAATAGATGGTTTTTTTGTTTTGTTTTTTGTTTTTTGGGGTTTTTTTGAGAGGTTTTCGCTATAGGGTGCATGCGCTTGCCAGACAGACAGAGAGAAACATAGAGACAGAAAGCAAGAAATCACCCCCCAGGGGGGATGGTCACACCGCAATCCCTTCTCCTCCATTCTCCTCTCAGGATCTTGGGCACGCACGCACACGCGCCCGGCGTGAGTTTTAAGCCACCGGGTCTGGGATGCGAACCGCGGTCAACTACATGTGAGTCCAGCGACATAGCCATTATGCCAAATGCTGGTTCCCTCAAATAGATGTTTTTAATGCATTTTTTTATTTCAAGAAAAATAGTTTTTGTGATTTTTTTCTCCTGAAACCTTTTTTTAAATTAATTAATTTACTTTCATCCCCTAATCATCGTCACTGCATGCAAAAAGTGGCTTCCCATCCAGACTATACTGCATAGTGGCTTAATCATGTATGTTATCATCAATAATTTTCCATTTCTAGTTTCACAAACCGCAATCTCTAATCCACCACTGTCCTTTGGGACTTTGGGAATGCATGCACAAGTGTCCAGCATGATTTTAGCTGCCAAGTCCAGAATTTGAGCTGCAGTCAGCCCTGTGGGAGTCCAGTACCTTAACTACCACGCCACCTGCTGGCTCCTTTAAGCCACATTTAACGTGAACTCACTTAGATTCCTTAATATTGCTCATCTGCACACAATATAGACCCTACAGGGTGTCTATAATTCTGAAGTAGGTCCACTGGGACGCTGACACTAGAGTTCTGTGGAGAAGAGATGCCCGAGTAGGGAAGGTAGGGCTTGAGCACCAGCAGGACTTCCCCCAAGACTGGGCTTGAATTCAGCAGTCCTGCTCACAGGCATTGAGAACAGCCAGGTCTAGGGACATGTCATTGCCACAAAATGACCACAAAACACAAAGGACACAAACAAGATTATTAGGACAACATGGTTGACCTGTTCCTGCATGAAAGGCATCCTAAGGGGGAGGGCTATGCTATAATCCATTCTCTTCCAGCATCCTCTCAGGATTTGGGGCATGCACCACCCCCTACCACCACCACCCCACCTCCATACAACTGGATGTTTAAGTTGACAGGTCCAGAACTAGAACCATGCAGCTGACCATATGGAATCCTGTGCCCAACTTACTGGCTCAAGGACTGGCGATACTTTAAATGAAAAGATTGGCCTCGAGCTCAGGCCATAAATGAGAAGCATTTCTTACCAAATTGGGAAGGAATTGCCAGGAGAGACCAAGTTCTGCCCTGCAGTTCCACTTCTCTCCATTAGAAGAAAGTCTCATCACTATAGTGACAGGCCTTAAAGAATGTCAAGGATAAGACTGAAACATTTGACTACATTTTTAAAAATAAGTAAAGGAACATCTAGTTGATTATGATTCTTTCAGTCTGGCTCCTCCAAGGCCACACTGTCTCTGAAACCTATGACTCTCCATGTGTCCACTGACTCGGTCCTTACTAGGAAGCAGGCTGCAGACACCACGACACGACACGTTATCTGTAACGTGAGCCTACACCTTTTCAGAGCAAGGTCATCTTCTACCAGAGTCAGAACGCCATTGTCTCCTGCTATGGTTTGGCCAGTGGTTTGTCCCCCAAACACTCATGTGATGAAATTTGGTCCCCAATATATGGTGCTGGGAGGTGGTGAGACCTCGAAGAGGCGAGGCCTGGTGGGCTGTGTTTAGAACAGGGGAAACATGTCCTCCATAAATGGATTCATGGTACTTTATTTTTTTGAGTATGCAATAGGGCAAGTGCACTCATTGAGAAAGACAGAGTAAGAGACAGAAGTGAGAAATCACTCCCGAGGGGAGATGGCCATGCTTCATTCTTTTTTCCTCCACTCTCCTCTCAGGATTTGGGGTATGCACACTCACACACCTGGTATGAATTTCAAGCCACCGGGTCCAGCACTCCAATGTACAGTCGACCAGCTGCCTAACCTCCACACCACCTGCTGGCCCATGATAAATGCTATCTTGATTGAGTGAGTTCTCATTGTCAGGAGAAGGGCTTAGATCCCAAAAAGAGAACTGCTCTAAAAGGAAGAGTCACCCCCAGGTCTCTCTGCTCTCCTCTGCTGACCTTTCCATTACTGCCTCACAAAGGAACTGGCTGAACTTCAGGACACTGTAAAGACGCCAAAGATAAACAACTAAGTGCTGTGCCTTCATTTTATAAGAAGTTTCTAGAAAAGACAAAATCTCTGTCAGTGTTCCAGGGGCAGGAGCAGAGAGTGCACAAACAAGCAGGAGAGAAGTTTTACTGGGGCTGGGCGTGTCCTAAACTGAATTATCAGGGGGATGCACACCAAGGGAAACTCACCAAACATCATCAAACCGCGCATTTGTGGTGTGCAGATTTCATGATCTGTAACCGTATCTCGGGGGATGTTTATGGTCCTCACATGTGACCTTTGGCCTTGGCACACACACCCTCCCGTCTTCATACTTGTGTTCTTCCCCTACCCGAATTAGGGCTGGATTCTTGGTCCTCTTCTCCATCTGCAACCACCCCTTCCCAGG